AAAAACCTCTTTTCCAATAGAACTAATGCAATCAAATCTTGTGAACGTTACATGGAGCAAGATGGAGCAAGAGAAGGAGAAAGGAAATCCAAGCAGGAAGGTTTCACTGAATGTAATCCAAGACTGTCCTATAGAATTAGGAACAAATTGTTAAGATACAAGCCTCAAAACATCTCAGACACTTGTATTAGATTTTCTGATGCCAAGTGTGACATTAGACATTTTAAAGAGTCTAATAAATACTCCACCAATCATTGCATCAATTGATGTTCAAAACCCAGCTAATATTATCATCCCTAAGAAGAACCATTTTGGATCAAATTTTGGGCTCAATTTCCAACCAGAAAAGAAATGGTTAAACAAGCAAGAAGAAAAGAAAGAGGTTAGCATGAAGAAATATGATTGTCTTTTGAGGAATATGAAGAATACTTTCTAGTTTGGAAAGGTTAATGTTGAACCACATTTTGTGGAAACAACTGATGAAGAAGAGAAGATGAAAGATAAAGAGCTGCATGTTAGCAAGATGCTTGAAGATGCTGAGGTTGGAAAATTTGCATTGAAATCTAACCATGTTTCCCTGAAGAGAAACTTAACAAGTGGAGAACAAAGGATCTTCATGTAGTTTTTTAGAATAAATTTAGAGTAATACCCGAAATTAACCCTTATGCTTTTGCCCACTAGCATTAAGGGATATTTTGTGAATGACTTCTATGTTAATTTTACTTTTTTTTTTCAATTAAAGATGTTTTAAGTGGAGAACAAAGGATCTTCCTGTAGTTTTTTAGATTAAATTTAGAGTAATACCCGAAATTAACCCTTATGCTTTTGCCCACTAGCATTAAGGGATATTTTGTGAATGGCTTCTATGTTAATTTTACTTTTTTTTCAATTAAAGATGTTTTCCTTGATTTCTCAAGCGGTAATCATTTTATACATTTTCATATTCTTTATCATTCTTTATATTCTTTTATTTCATTTTTACATTTTTTTATTATTCCATTCATTCTATACAAATGTCTACTACTCTTCTAAATGTATATATTCGTTCCAAATTTTCTTTACAGGTGCCCTAATCATTAATAATATGAATGTTTCTGAATTTTAATCATGAAATAAATTTTGAGCGACCCGTGTTTAGTAGAAATATATGAGTGCAAAAATGAGGTAGAATATGATGTTTCTAGAAAATCATCAACGCTGGTGAAAAAGGAGGATAAACAGAGCTTATATCATAAAGAATTAATCGAGATTCTGAATCTATAATTAACGAAGAAAGAAGAAATATAGAAATTGACTTTACTTTTTCACATGAAATAATGCAATAACTAGTAGAGTTACTACAAGATTTTAAAGAAATTTGTTCTTGATCGTATCACAACATGCTAAGATTGAATACAGATGTAATAATGCACAAATTCCTGATAGACTATTAACCCTCTATCTAATAGTCTTTGAAAATTTATTGAGATGTGTACTGGGACTGTATGATGAGTCTGGAAAAAAAATAGAAGAGCCATCTACCATTTTAATAGGAAGTTCATTGATTGAGAGATCTAATACCCGTCAATTCAAAAGCTATGTTGTGCCTTGGTATGGGTTGCCTGAAGGTTTAGGTAGTACATTACAACTTGGCCGATCTCTAGACTCGATCCTCTAAAGTGCTTAACACAGACATCATCATTAACTAGAAGAATGGATCAATAGCAAGGGTTGTTATAGAATCTCACATTGTGTATGCAAGCTAAAAGATGATAAAAAGGAAGTGTCGTAGTATATTTTCTGGCTAGTCATGCATCAGATGATTATGAGTCCCTCATTTTTAATTTTTCATATGAGGATTTATTGTACATCTCTACTAAAGAAGAAATTAAATTAAGAGATGAATCTCGGAAACTTTAATGGGGCTTTCAATGCTTTGAGAAATGGAATTGGGGCAGTGTTAATGTCTGTTACCCTTTCACAAATAGACCAAAGCTCTTTTGCACTAACAATATGGCAGAACTTGAGGCTTGTGCTTTGAGGATAAGAGAAGTCATAGAAAGAATATGTCAGTGCTTAAAGTATGTGGAAGTTCCTCGATTAGAAGTCTATAAACTACGAAGATAGTGAGAATTGCCATAGGAAATTATCATTCATTGTGTATACATATCCAACTTCAGTATGTACCCTGATGAGGTGCAACGTCATTTCCATTTGGTTCTGGAATAAAAATAATCTTACTCATCACAGTCGAGACTCGTTACTTCAAGTTTCAACAAAAGTATAACTGAGGCAAAATTTAAGCATGATGTGATCAGTTGAACTCTGTTAGAAAAAGAGGTTGAAAGTTATCTGCTATGAACAAAGGTGTCAGAAGCAAATGACGTGAGCTCATGATAAGAAAATTTGTCTAATATAAGTCTGAGATGGTGATCTAGTGATTGAAAAGATCTTTCCAATTCATAAAGATTTCCTTGGGAGATGGATGCTTAATGGAGAAACGACCAAATATTGTCAATGAGGTTGTTTTCGGAGGAGTGTTGTTAAATTAAGTAATCTAATAAAGTCAAATTTGGGATAAGAAGTACTACACTCGAAGAAAGGAGAATGACAGAAAAGAATAAGGAAAAAGAAGAAAAAGAAGAAAAAAGAAAAAAATGAAAAAATAAAAATGAAAAGAAGAAGAAGAAGAAGAATAAAGAATGAAGAATGAAAAAGGAGAAAAAGGAGAAAAAGGAAAGAAAATTAAAATGAGGGTTTAAGACGATAATCCAAAAAAATCATCTTGAAACCAAATGAAGGATTTGAGTTGAAAACCTGAAAAGGCGAATCAAATATGTTAATATTAGACATTTGGCAAATAAAACCCTCTGATGATTCTGGTACTTTGGGATGAGTTTGTGTTTGCAAACATTTTGGTGATTCTGAAGTCCTTTAGACACAAGAACTTACTTCTATGCTTCGGGGCCATATTTTGTTGATTGATTTACAAAGCCTGATATTTTAAAAGGAGCTTCACATCTACAGACACTTTGACAACACTTGAGATCTTCTAAACAGAAGCTTACCTCAATGCTCCAAATTATATCAAGTCAATTGGTTCATGAACATTCATGTTAGTTATGCTTAAGGCATCTGACTTTATTTCTCGATTTTTACCCTTTCAATGGTTGTCATGACTTTATAAAATTCTAATTTTCTCATATCGAGCCCTAATTTTGTTCATTTACAAGCATCTTATAAGTAGATTAACGTAGTTGAAAAGAAAATAAAAGATTTCTTGGTATTACTTTGAGCTAATCTTTTAAAGTACATGGAATCAAAAGTAGCCCAAAAACCTTAACAGTCGTGTTCATTTGTAAAAGATTGTATAAGCTGAATTCATGAGGACAACTATTCGATCCCCGTAAAAGTTTTTTTTTCAAGATGTTGTCATCTGGGGAAAATAAATAAGATGATTTCTAAAGAATGATAGAGATCCTTGAAGCTAGCGAGTCTTGTTCTGTCTCAAATAAAAATGCAAGGGCAAGGGAGACATTCTTCGATCCTTGGAACAATGAAGTCTGACAGATCAAAAGACTCAAGAATAAAACTTTTCACACTTCTTTGTGACATCATCAATAACCAATTAAGAATCAAATAACCACCTTAATAAGAAGAGACATGTATTATTTTGAGATCTCATGGCATCTCAAGTCATAACAAATGTTCAAGTCATTCCTGTATTAAATGTATTAATCACTTGTAAAAGCAAGTTTGGCAATAAGATTTTTGATAACGATGATTAAGAGCGTCATAAGTACCCACATTGGGGCATGACCAAAGACCTGAATCATGTGAGGATAACAAAATTCAAGTCAATAATGTATTGAGAATAAAACTCGTTGCTTGGAGTATCATGGGTAGAATATAGAGATAATAAGAGCTTACTTTGAAAAGCAAACCATTCATGCTTCATTTGGCAGGATAGTCTTGAAGAAACTTCTTTAATAGAATAGTTTGAAGAAAAAACGTCAGATCATATACTTGATTACAACAAGAATTAAAAGATAGCATTTCTTCTGAGGTTTTCAATAAAAAATAAAAGCAATAGAAGAAATAAGACATAATGACACGATCTGATCAGATTGCTCTTCCAAAAAAGAGAATGATTGCTTGAATTCACAAGTTTCCGCACTATTATTGGAATAGGCTCTAGCCAACATTTGATTAAGTGAAGGAAGATCGAGTTCTCCACTTTGAAGTCAAAATGAAAATGAAACAACATTTTTGCATCAATGAGAACATCATTTGCATAATAAAATGTATTACATTTAGACACATTTAATTGTATTCATATCTTCATAAATAAATGCATAGTTTTTTACAAATTTTCTAAATAAATAAAAAGGCTTATGACTTCAATACCTCGAGAAGAGAAAATCATGTTTAGAGTGGCAAAGTCTCAAGAACAAAGGAGCCAAATCCACAAAAATATTATTACTTGGAAGTGAGGCATGTCACCCAGCCACTAAGATGTTTACATATGATTTGTGAAAAATGAGAGCGATTTTCAAAGTTTCTCATTTAATCTTTCCCAAAATTGAAATTTTCAAAAAGTAAGAAAGCGATTTCCAAAGTTTCTTACTTAATAAATTATTTCCAAAAAATCTATAAGACCTTCAGGTATGATATTTTCATTTGATATTTTTGGAAAATGAAAAATTGATTTTCAAAGTTTCTCATTTGATACGACAAAATTTATCTCACTTGAGATTGTTTTTCTTAAAAGCAATTTCATCTCACTTGAGACAATTTACGTTGAAGCACAAGTATTGGAATTGCTCCACTTCACACAATATTTATCTCACTTGAGATTGTTTTTCTCAAAATCAATTTCGTTTCGCTTGAGATAGTTTCATTTGAAGCACAAGTTTTGGAAATGCTTCACTCAAAACAAGATTTATATCACTTGAGATTGTTTTTTCTTAAAGTCAAATTTTTCTCGCTTAAGACAGTTTTCTCTTGAAATACAAAATTTGGAATTGTTTCACTTTAAACAAATTTTATCCCATCTGAGATAACTTCGATTGCAACAAATTCTTTTCATTCATGTTTGACAGGAATTCAAAAAGTTAACAGAGATTTTGTTTCACAAATCCATGACTAAAAAAACATTTTGATCGAATCTATCGCGGAAGAAAGTGGATTAACATTTCCAATGGAATAAGTCATAATGAGAAGAACTCCTCCGAAGAACAAGAAGAAGTTCATAATGAGAAGAAATTGTTCAACCTTTTGCTCGACTCTATCGCAGAAGGAGATAGATCAACATCAGCATTTTATTCGATTCCATCACAGAAGGAGATAAATCAACATTTCCAATGGAAAGGTTCATAATGACAATGACTCATCCGAAGAGGAAGAAGAAGTTCATAATAAGAAGAATTTGTTCAACTTTTTGCTCGACTCTATCGCTGAAGGAGATAAATCAACATCGTCATTTTGTTTGATTCCATCACAGAAGGAGATGTATCAACATTTCCAATAGAAGGGTTAACAATGAGAAGAACTCATCCAATGAGGGAGAAAAAGTTCATAATGAGAATAACTTGTTCAACCTTTCGCTCAAATCCATCAAAAAAGGAGGTGGCCCAACATTTCCAATGGAAGGGTTCATAATGAGAAGAACTCATCCAAAGAAAGAGAAGAAGTTCATAATGAGAAGAACTTGTTCACCCTTTTGCTAGATTCTATAACAGAAGGAGATAGATCAACATCACCATTTTGCTCAAATTCATTGCAGAAGGAGGTGGATCACCATTTCCAATGGATTGGTTCATAATGAGAAGAAGTCGTCCAAAGAAGGAGAAAATTTCATAATGAGAAAAACTTGTTCAACCTTTTTCTCGATTCTATCACAGAAAGAGATAGATCAATATCAATATTTTGTTTGATTTCATCACAGAATAAGGTGGATCAACATTGTCATTCTTGCTAGACTTAATCACAAAAGGAGGTGAATCAGCATAATCAAAGAAAAAAAGTTCATAGTTAGAAGAACTTGTTTGACCTTTTACTCAAATCCCTCACAGAAGGAGGTGGATCGCTATTTCCAGTGGAAGAGTTCATAATGAGAAGAACTCACCCCGAAGAAAAAGTTCATAATGAGAAGAACTTGTTCATCAAAGGAAAAGAAGTTCATAATGAGAAGAACTCGTTCATCAAAGGAAAAAATCATAATGAGAAGAGCTCGACTAATCATTCAAGAAAAATGGGAAGTGATTAAAGAAGATGAAGTTCATATGGAAGAGCTTGTTCAACCTCAAAATTCACCTTAATGAGAAAAACTTGTCTAATTTATCAGAGAAGGAGTTGAACCTTTTGCAAAAAAGTGAAGAGTTCATAATGAAGAGCATGGAGCTTAAAGATTTCAGGTAGCCAAGTTGGATAAAATTGGTACTTTATGTCTTCGCTCCATTCTCGTTTCACAAGAATGAGCGAAGAGGGACAATTATAATCACCATTTTATCCATAAAAATTAATTAAAATACAAAAAGAAAAAGTCAAACACCACAATGCCCTGCCATCTGCGTCTGCTCCATGCCATCACTCTATCACACCACGCCAATAGCTGTTATCACCTAATCCTAGTAGCTCGCATCCTCAGCAGGACACCAAACATAAAAACAAAGAAAATGAAATTTTCTTTCATGTAATATGGGTTATAAAACCCCCAAAAATAAAAAATTATAAGGGAGTTCTTCCCCCAATTTTTTTTTGTTATCGCCAATTCTTATCTCTGAAAAACAAAAGAGAACACTATAAGAAATTCTTATCCCCCTAATATTGGAATAAAAAGCTTTCTTAAGTTCCTATTTTCTTCATTTTTTTTCATTTTCAGCACAATTTGTTTTCTTTGTTTGATATCAAAAGCTAGTACCAAAACAGGGAAGGAGTTAGACATTTACCTTGGTCATCGTCGGGTCCAGAGTGAGCATTTATCCAATGGTTTGAACCCTTCGTTGGGGTTTGTGTAGCTGATGGTTTGTTCGGTCTAGAGTTTTATAGGGTTCGATGATCTCATTCGAAGGAAGAAGAGAAGAAAAGAAAGAGACTTAGGGGTTTAACATCGTTTTAGAGGGTGATTTTGTCTTCCACCGGTCGACATCGGTGCTGTTAAAAACTTGGATTGCCATCGATTTACGGTGGCTGGCGTTGGTGGTTTTTTTGCGAGAGGCGGTCGCATGGTGTTGACAGGGGGATTGAGAGCACGAGAGGAAGAGATATGGGCTTAGTAAAATTTGAGTTATATTAAAATTTTTGGTAAAATCCTCTCTTATTCCCTGCATCTCATTCGCTTTACTGTGCCTTTTTTTAAATTTATTACAATTTTAGCCTACTGATTTACTAACTTTCAATTTGGTCACTTTTTTGGTTTATTTTTATTTTATTTTGGTCACTTTTTCACTTTATTTTAATTTTTGATATGCTAATTTATTTGTTTACATTCTGGTCATATTTTGCATTTTTGTTTTATTTTAATTTTTCATGCTATTTTTTTGTTGATTATATTTTGGTCACTCATGTTTATGTTATTTACTGTTCAATGCCAATTTGGTGTTTTTATTTATTTATTATGTTTTTAATCCTTGTTATTAAAATACAAATATTTAAATATTAAACTTTATCGACCTTGTGGTGACTCGACCAAGGTACGATCCACAATACTATGGTCCAGACTCTACTAACATCTAACCGCTAACCACTAACTGCTAACTTGTTTTTTATTTATTTATTTTATATTTAAACCATAGTATGACCTTGTGACGACCCGCCCCGAGTACTACTCACATTATTTACGGTCCGGGTAAAATATTAAAAATTAACACTAAGATTTTATTTTTATTGCTCTTTTATTTTTGTCATTTAATTTTATTCACATTTAAATTTCTTCCCTTTACTTTTTATTTATTTAATTGCAGTCCTTTAATTTCATTACTTTAATTTACTGTCTTTTTATTTGTTCCCTTCATTTGTCAGTACTTTAAATTTAGTCCTTTTATTATTACGCTTTATTTTCTGCCTATTCTATTTTAGTCCTATGAATATATGTATGTATGTTTCATATTTTATCACATTGAATGCCTTATTTTGCTATCTAGCATTTTGATCCTTTTGTTATTTATCATTTTATTTTATTTAAGCACTTATATTGTGTGATACTTATTTTTGGATCATTGTTTTTTATTGTGTTTATATTTTTTCATTCTAGTATAAACTTTCATCATCTAGCATGATTAATATAATTTGGATTAATTGGCTTATTTTTTTTATTTTTGTCTAATCAAATTATTTTAATCTATAATTATTGGGAGAAATTATTATATTCTTTTTATTTCATTTAGAAAGAGAAATATTCATCCTAAAGTATTTTAGGGATTATTTTCTCTTCGATTGTAAATATTGGAATATTTTCTATTTCTCCTTAGAATTTTCCGTTAAAAAATTGTATGGTTGAATTTGGAATAATAGGATCATAACTTAAATTTATATTTGAATTCTTAGATTTCCATTATTGGAGACAATTTATAATCGATAGGGTACCAATTTTGGGCGTTGTGGGGTGCTTATCATTCCCCACGCGTAATCAGACCCAAACCCTTTTTTTATTTTATTCAAAAAATAAATTTCTGGTTACACGTAGACTTGTTTATCTTTTAAAATGATTTTTTCTTAAAAACTCTTTTAAAAGACCTTTTTTAGGTATTCGACCTACCTAACCCAAAAGGTTGATGGCGACTCCAAAACATTTATTTTACAAAAATTAAAATTTTCACAAATAAGTCGAGACTCGTTCCGAGCTTAAGAGACGGTTACAACACTTTATTATCTGTATCAAATTGTAATTCATCATTGTGGATTGAGTATTATTTCAGACCTACTTCGTGAAATAGGATTTCCTGCTCATGAAATCAAATCATCATTTGTAGTGAGTTTGTTGCATATATTTCTTATATACTTATTTACCCACTTACAAAGCTCTATAAGTGTGAAAGATGGTGATTGGAAGCTCTCTACAGACTTTCATTTCCTTAGGAATCCTCATTGTGGAAAAGATATTCATGTGAATTATAGTTGGAGTGAAATAGTATTACAATTGTTTCAATTTGTAATAAATATGGCAAAACTGGTAATTAGAAACTTTTGGTGGTACTGGAAATCTTTGATATAAGGAGTAGAAACTCCTCCGTACCTTACTCGTTTTGATGGATATTTATTTGTGGTCAGATGATGGGATTCAACCAGAAATGGTTGAGTTTGAAATGAACCATTTGCTCAAGCTAGTTCATGATAAGAGATATACTAACATCTCATTTTCTAGTAGGGTTCAAGTTCAAAGCATCGAAAAAAGTCGAGAAACCCCAAATGTTGCTTTGGTTGTTTATAAGGGTCAAGAAGAACCGAAGAAGTATGGTTCAGGTTCAAAGCATTGAAAGAAGTTGAGAAAACATAAATATTGATGTAGCAACCCGAATCTTGGGTTAGTAGTTTTGGGTTAATCCGCAAGTGTGTTAGATAAGTCCATTAGCCTTATGGGAAAATTTAACCCAAGTAGTGTAAGTTTGGGATTGGGTTGAGCCCAAGCTGTCATAAAGATGACACCTTTATAATAGGATTAAGACTTAGGGGACAAAGGCAACGATTTTCCCATAAACTTTCTCTAAAGTTGAATTCCCTTAATAAGGGATGATGTCAACATGGAAGAGCTTCATGTCTCTTTTTCTTCACCCTTGTCTTATTCCTCATTCAAACTCCCCATTGTGTCTTAAGAAACATAGCAACTTGGTGACCTAACAAGCTTGGTCTAAGACTCTAAAAGTAAGAATCATATATTGGTTATCTCAAGTCTTCCTTTGCAAGTTTTAGCTATGATAACCAAATATGGGTTCAGTTGGGGGTTTTAGAACCTAAGTTCAATTAGCTTGATTTTGGAGGGATTTGAGCCCTAAGAGATGGCCTAAACTCTTCCTTAAGCTTCCCAACAACATTAGTAATTCTTCTGTTTAATTTCATGCCTAGTTAGAGAAATCGGAGAAAACTCCAAGTCCAAATAAAATGAGAAGTTGACCATTGGTTGAGTTGAAAGAGTTCTCAGTAGCTTAGGACTCAAGGTAATTCTCTTATAACTCAACTCTACTACAATGTAGATCACTAGGTGTGTTTGTTAACTTGCATGAGTCATAAGCATGTTAATGGTATATTTCAGTATTTAGTGTTTTCAATATATTTATGGACCTATTATAACCCCTACTATCATACATAACACTCAAATAATGTTTGAGAACCTCAACATGACTTTTGGTTTAGTTAGTGGGTCATTTTTATGCCCAAATTATGATATTTCTAGGTGTGTATATTGATATTGGAAGAACAATATCGATATTGTTCATCAGATGTTAAAAATAAGGGGATTTTGGGAGGTTTCGATACTCGTACAATGGGTATTGCTACTGTAGGTAAGGTATCGATACCCGCAGAGTGGTATCGATACCAAGTTCACTTAGCAGATTCCAATAACCATTTTCTGTAACAGTATTCATGGGAGTATCGATACTAAGGTATTTTCCAAAACAACGAAGCCAAATTTGGTATCAATACTTAGGATAATATTGATACCACACCATAAGTATCGGTACTCAAATTGGAGTATTGATACTACCCCTTTTCTTTTGGTTCCCAATAGCGAGTTGGTATCGATAATAAGATGTTAGTATCAATACTCAAGGTCAATACCAATACTAAAGAGGCTTAGTATCGGTACCCACAAACTTTTTTGAGTAAGAAACCCAAGGGTTTTAAGGGATAGATTTGAAGAACCCAATAATGCCATAACACTATAAAAAAAACTACAAGTGAGAACAGAAATAAACCCATAAAAATTAGAAATAGTAACAATTTGGATATATCTCATTCAGTGTCAAGGCACTTTAGTTTGCCAACTAGGTACAGATGCCATAAGACTCGACGGAGTAAGTTGGTAGGGTGTACGTCTTTGATGTAGTTCTAGATCTAACCCTGAATAACCAAGGGTATTTTAAGAAGGCTAGAGGGCTGTGTTTCCTAGGATACAGAACCCTCAGCCACACTATGATGTCTATTTCAACATGTCATGTTAGCATATTCTTACCTATGCCCCTAGCATACTCATTTAGCGAATGCATATAGCACAATATAGTTATTAGTGTGACACTGAGCTCTTAAGCTCAACGTTTGGAATGTGTTTTCTTGCGCAAGTTCTTAGGAGACTGTCCGTGGAGCGTTATCGTCACCATATATTCTAGATCAATCTAGGCTTTAGAGTATATTTTGATTTCTATTAGAGGGCATGTACTATTATAAACCCTTTTTGTATTCAATTATAACTATATTTTTGTATTAAACTCAACATTATTATTATTTTGGATATTTGGGAGCTCTCACTTATTTGTAAACTCAGATTTATTATGTTTTCATTTGATATCACTATGGATGGTTATTTTATAATGGTTACAATCGTTTTTAAAAGAAAATTTTTGGGTTAGACACTTTGGTGGTCCCTTGTGACACTTTAAACCCTCAGTCTTCTAGTTGAACTGGATTAGGGTGTTACAGTTGAAAGTCAAACGGTCAGTCAAACATGCTGAATCAGTTAGATTAACGTGCCACGTTAGCATTCCGTTACTAGCTAGTGATTGATTTGTAATATATCGATAATATTAGTGACAAATTTGTTACTTTTGAAAATTTAGTGAGAAAAACAAAAACTTACTCAAACGTTAGTGACTATTTGTGTAGTTTATCCAATTTTCTCAATAAATTTACATGTAACTTACTTTGAACATCAATTTTTCATTAATTATTTAATCATCTTGAGCATATTATACATCGTTTAAAGGTATCATGAATATAATATAAAATTTAAGAAAATAAAAAAATAAACTGAAGATTAAAAATGTATTAATGTAAATAGTAGAGGCAGGGGCAGGGGAAGATTTAAGGGGCTAGTGGGGGACATGACTTCAATATATATATATATATATATATATATATAAGGCGTGTATAATAAATTATTAGATTTAATTACCTAAAAGAATGTGTATATTACTTTGAAACTTATAAAACACTTAGATATTATTTATTGAAAAGAGCTAACATTTATTTATTTTAATTATTATTTTACTTTTAAAAAAATAAAAATCTATTCTTCTTTGTTATTTTTTATATCAAGATATAAATATTTCTTTTTGTTTTTTCTTCTTTAGTTGTTCATATTCTTTGAGTTGCTCATCTTCTATGAGTTGAAGACTTCAATCAAGTTATCAAATATTTTATTTCATTCGAAGGTAAGTTTTTTTTTTAAATATTTCTCAATTTAATTTGTATATATGGTTTTACTTCAAATATAAATTTTAAAATTTATTGATTAATTTGTATATTGTGTGAATTTATTATAAAATTAAATTAATATATTTTTATGGTTATGTGTTACAGATTGTGTGAAAGTGTGAGTAAACAAAAAAGACTAGATTCTTTTTTTTCCAGAAAAAAGACGTTAATAATATATAAATTAGTATGCCATTGAAAACTCCAAGGATTGAGCATCAGAGTTGTAGTTAATCTCCTTCAAATTTTTCTGTTGTTGAAGTTGAAGACGTTAATCTTCAGTTTATAGAACTTGCTCTTGGGTTACGTAAGTCAATATGTGAATATCCAATTAATGAACGAGATGAAATTCGACGAGCGTACTTGAGATCATGTCCGTATCAAATTCGTCTCTCTAATTATCCATTTTCTCAAGAAAAACATCATAGATTTTTTCAATATTCTTGGTTTTCTCAATTTTCTTCTTGGCTCGAATATTCTCCGACTAAGGATGACACATATTGTTTGTCATGTTATCTTTTTACCATGGAATCTAGTAGGAAACTTGTTGGGATGAATTCATTGTTAAAAAGTTTAGAAATTGGAAAAAAGTAAATTCCGAAAAGAATTGTGCTTTTCTTAATCACATTAGAGATTATCATTGTTCAATGTATAATAATGTTGTAAGATCTTGTGTGGATTTGATGAAGCAATCTTGATATATTGACAAAGTAATACATCAAGAAAATTCAGAACAAATTTTGAATAATAGGCTATGAGTCAAGATTTCGATATATGATGTTAGATGGCTTGCATTTCAAGCTTGTGCTTTTATATGTCATGATAAGACACTTAATTTAAAAAATAGTGGAAATTTTTTCTTAAGCTGATTAAGCTTTTGACATCTTATAACAAAGATGTTAAGAAAGTTGTGTTGGAAAATGTCCCTAAGCATGCTAAGTATGTTTCTCCTTTAATTCAAAAGGAGATTTTACATGTTATTGCTAATAAAGTTCAGAACAAGATTCATGAATATATTGGAGATTCAAAATTTTGCATTATTGTTGATGAAGCTCGTGATGAATCCAAAAGAGAAAAAATGTTTCTTGTTTTGAGATTTGTTGATAAAGATGTCTATTTTAGAGAGTGTCTGTTAAACATACATTCATATTAACTCTTAAAAATGGAATATGTGTTTTTCTAGCTTGTCACGGTCTTGATGTTCAAGATATTTGTCGTCAAGGTTACGATGGAGCTAGTAATATGTATTGAGAGTGGAAAGGATTGCAAGCATTATTTTTTAATGATTGTTCTTCTTATTGTTATGTGCAATGTTTTTCTTATTGATTAAAATGTCACACGAAACGCCCTTAGTGGCTAACCCAAAATTTATCTTTGAAACCTTTTTTAAAACCATCATTTAAAGACCATTAAATAAAAACGTAAATCAACATAATCTATTAAGTTTATAAAGGGGAGCTCCCAAAA